ATTCTGAGTGGAGGGGATCAATGGGGGGGGGAAGAGGGGCATCTGTAATACTTTCAACAATAAAAATAAATTTAAAAAGAAAGAAAGAAAAAGGAGGGGAAAAAAGGGTGTTTCATGGTTTTAAAGAGTCTTATGGCTGTTTAAATTCTGAAGACACTTATTACAATGGGAAGAAAGGAGAAATCGGGGAGGAGGCGATTAATGAACTGGGCTCTTTGAGGCTGCTTGAGAATCATCTAGTGTTACCCTTTCCTTTTTCCCACAAAATAAAGCCTCAAGGTAGGAAGAACACACGGATTGAAGAAGTGGAAACTGTCACCGTAAAAAAACAAAGGTGGATCTGCTAAATGCAAATGAACTTAGAGGGAATTTGAGTTTTGTTTCCTGACCATCAAAAATAGTTCGGAGGATTTCTGCCAAAATTCGAAATAAAAGCACACTCCTTTCTCCCTGCGCCCCACGGAGCTGCCTTTGAAGTCAAATGTGCTCCACAGGGCACAGAAACGACAATCAGGCCCTTCTTAAATGTTACTACATATGATTCGGTATGAGACAGTGTCCTTCAAGCATTTATAAAAAGTCATTTTCAGCTCCTTCTTCTTAGATATGATGAGCTTTAGTCTTATGCCCTGGAATTTAAATCCATGCTTCCCTCTGGCCATACCTTCTGGTCCCAGGGACAGCCTCCAGGACTTGGCCCACTTGCCTGGATCTGGTTCAGGCGCTGCCTGGATGGACGCTCCAGCTGCCTCCCGGCTTGTAGGGACTGGAGCTGACTCTGCAGCCACCTGGCAAGTCTTGGCCAGCTTTGCAGCCTTCTGCACTTCCCTGAACAGCTCACTGGGGGGCCTCAGGGCCTCCTTAGCTCCCTGTTCTGCCTTACCAGGGCAATGAGATGAAATGCAGCCATCCATTGTTCCTACCTGGTGCCCCACAAAGATGGGGAGAAAAATATCACATTTGGAATAATAACAATCATAATGCTGGTATATTTTGAAACCATTCCATATTCAAAAGCAGGGACTTGTTTGGTAAGACTCATGACAGCCTTCAGTATAGAAATGTTTAGAGCATTTGTTTGTTTTCTATTTAGCTACCTGGCTTAGAGTGTAGAAGTGTCTTAAACCACAGTGACACTCATCAGAGGAAAGAAACAAAACACTTCATATTTTCCAATCATTAATTCACCTACTGTGTAAACTCAAAAGAGAAAAAAAATCAAAATAGTGTATTTGTAGCATGAGATTTTATTGCAGAATATTAGAATAAAGCCTCTTTTCTCTGGAAGGGAAGCTAAAACTAAAAGGAATCTTAAAGACCAATTAATTCAATTACTTAAATAGGTAGAAACTGCTGCCCAGAAGTTAATGGCTCAGACTAACATGGTAATATCAACAATATATACAAGCCAATTAGAAGGAGCCTCCACTGGCCAGAGATGGAACAATTTGAATGTCAAAAAGGATGACCCCCACTGATTCAAACATATCAAATCTACAAAGCCCACGGGTTAATAGTGAGTTGATAAGATGTCCTTCCACCTCCACCCCCAAAACAGTAGTGAACAGCTCATGGTGAACACCATTAGAAGTTGCTAAGGCCCCAATTCATTATTCTGACAATTGATAAACTCGAGACTAAAAAACATACACTGTTTTTCCTTTTCAAACTATATTTTGGGATGACCATATAACTGATGATGAAAAATGCATCCATATAAAAGAATCCCAACTAATCAATGTAGAAATAATGATGGAATTAGAAAATTCTCACTTTGCAACTCAGGTAAGATCGGCAGTTGCAAAATCCATTAAGTGAAAGGTGGATTGGGAACTTCATAAAGCATGGATCAGGCAGACAGCTAAATCTTCTCATCAATCTTAAAATCACTAAAACTGTGTCAATGAGACATATGTCCTTCCTAAGGTGATGCAATAGGAAGTGTGCAGCACCACCTATGAAGTGTTCTTGCCAGGAAAAAAGACAGATAAAAACTGAACCAGAACCTGATGAGGCCTCTTGCTCTAACTATGAGTTTACAGCAAGTACAGGGATAAAGGCTACAAAGAAGCAATCAGCAAACCCAAAATGTGGGGCATTCTATAGGGTAAATGACCCGGTTTCTCCAACAAATAAGGGAAATTAAAAAGGGGAGAGATGTGCAATTATAGATTTAAAAATATTTACTAGATAAAACAGTCAAGTCAATGAATATACCTTGTTGGGTTCCTAATTTGACCAACCATTTAAAAATCAACCTTGTTAGAGATAACAATGAAATGTGACTATGGACTATGTGTCAAAGAAGAAAATCATCTCAAGAAAAGAAATGTGTAACTATGTGTGATGATCACTGTGGTGATCATTTTGCAATATAGATGTATATCAAATCATTATGTTGTACACCTGAAACTAATACAATGTTATAATCAATTATATCTCAATGTTTTTAAAAAGCTGGTCCTCAAAGTTCCACTTGACCTCCCCCCCCCAAATCTTTAATGAACAGCTTGAAATGAGGACATGCTGGGATTAAGGTTGATGTTGGGCTGAGCCCAATATCAGATGAGCCCCATGCATTTTAACTAGAAATAAAGTTTCCGAAACAATGACAGCATGTATCCTGCACAGTTAGGTCTCCGTAGGTTGTAGGGCTGTTCTTTGCTCACTCTGAGGATTCTGTCAGAATAAATAAATAAGCAGAAGTAACAAAATCAAACCACACACACACACCCCAATCCAGCCAGAGAAAAACATAGCACAGCACAAAACCAATAAAGGCAGTGTGGAGAGGGTCAACATTGCAAAATGTTGTTTTGTAATACATTTGGAACCTCCTGAGTGTTTGATAGGTCATGACCTTGAGATTGAAACAGAAGTGCCATCTTTTTTCCTCCCCACTGAACCCGTCATTTCTTCCAACTGCTAAATTTGAGAGAGAGAGTGAGAAGCAGAAAAAGAGAAGAAAAGGAAGCTCATTTGGAAGGAGCTGGATCCCAGTTTCCCTTGTTCTCAAAATGAAGTTGGTACATTTCCTGCTGCTGTATTTTTTGAATGGTCAATAGTACCTTTGTTTCCTGCTTTTCCCAGAAGGGCAGGCATAGCTTTCTTTTTTGTTTACTTGGGGGGAGAGTGGGTTGTATGGATATATTTATAAACTGAGAAATAATTTTAATACCATTAAATTCACCTTTTCAAAGTGTACAATTCAGTGGTTTTTAGTATATTCTCATAGTTGTACAACCATCACCAGTATATAATTCCAGAACATTTTCATCACGCCAAAGAGAAACCGTTCCCATTGTCCATTCTCCCTTTTTCCCAGGAGCCCATGGCAAGTATCAATCTGTCTCTATGAATTTGCCTTGTCCTGGACATTTCATATAAATGGCATCATACAACATGTGGTCTTCGGTGTCTGGATTCTTTTATGTAGCTCAATGTTTTCAAGGTTCATCATGTTCTCTCATGCATCAGTACATATTCAGGGGTGAATAGTGTTCCACTGCACAGATATACCATATTTTGTTATCCATTCATCAGATGCTAGACACTTCCACTTTTTGTTGGATTCACATTTTTTTTTTGATGGATTGTTCCCACTTTTTTGGCTATTATGAATAATCCTGCTATGAATGTTCACATACAAGTTTTTGTGTGGACGTACGTTTTCAATTCTCTTGAGTATATACCTAGGACCAGAACTGTTGGATCATAGGGTAACTCTACGTTTAACTTTTTAAGGAACTGCCAGACTGTTCAGGCTGTTTTCCAAAGAAGCTGCACCATTTCACTGGCCCACCAGTAATGTATGAGGATTCTAACTAATTTCTCTGCACCCTCACCAACATTTGTTATTGTCCATCTTTTTTACTATGTAAATTTCAGTGGGTATAAAGTGGTATCTCAGTGTGGTTTTGATTCGCATTTCCCTAAAGACTAAGACTCTTTCCATGTGCTTATTGGCCCTTTGTACATCTTCTTTGAAGAAATGTCTTTTCAAATCTTTTGCCCATTTTTAATTAGGCTATTTCTGTTTTAATCATGGAGTTGTAACAGTTCTTTATAAACTGTGGATACAAGTCCTTTATGTGATTTGCAAATATTTTCTCACATTTTGTGGACTTTTTTTAGTTTTTAGAGAATGTCCTTTGAAGCACAAGAGTTTTTCAGTTTCGATGAAGTTCAATTTATTTTTTCTTTTGTTGCTTGTGCTTTTAGTGTCACAGACTATAAAGCTGCTGCCTAACCCAAGGTCACAAAGATTTATGCCTCTTTTCTTCTAAGAGTTTTATAACTTTTAGCTCTTAGATTTGAGTCTCTGGTCCACTTTGAGTTAATACTTTTATATATGGAGTAGGAGTTCTACTTCTTTCTTTCTGCCAGCTTTTTTTTTGTGTCTTTCAATCTGTTTGTGAGACTGCAGCCCTCGCATCATTTACCTCAGTACAAGTCACAGCTTCAAGGTAAGAGAAGCAGGTACTATTTCATTTTAACGAAATGAAATTACTGGGGAGGCAATAAACAGGGCAGTGGTGAAGAGCACAAGTTCTGAAGCCAGAGTCTATCTCAACCATACTACTGACAAGCTGTGAGACTGAGTCAAGTTATTCTCTTGTCTGTACTCAGATTCTCCTTATCTTAAAATCAGGAGAGGAAAAAACAGAGTGTCTTCAGAGAGCTGTAAGGATTAGGAGAGAATACAGGCCAAGAACTCGAACAGTGCATGGTCCCTGGTGGGCACCCAGTACATGTTAGCTATTACCATCCAATTATATTAATCCTAGGGCTACAGTTTTCAAAGAAATATAGGTCTCAAAATATCAGCAGAGTGAGCCTGGGTGGGTGATGTGGCTTCCAGGACAACGTCTCTGATTTTTCCAGGTGGTGTCCTTGCATCCCAGATCCCCCAGCTGGGAACCACCTGATGCTGATGGTCATATCTGTCCTGTGTACAAGTCAGTCATTGTTTTGTTTTCCACAGACTTGCAAGTTTCCAAAGACAAATTCTAAACAGGTGCCAAATTTCCATGCCACAAAAAAATGAATCTTGAATTTTCTTGAGTAATGCTCCACTCTCTTAGACTCAAAGCTGCATTTTAAGAGCAAAGTACTCTTTCTCTATAGTATTTTTCTTTTAGCAACAGCGCTGGAAATACTTTATAAATGCTAAAGAGAGCAGGATTAATTCCCTCAGTCTCGATTGTTTTCAGAAATTTCTTACACGTTCCATAAATTTTAGGAGACCCCATTCAAGCCATGTAAACTCACATCATAAACAACTGTTAAGTCCCTCTTCAAGCAAGAGCTTTCTCTTTTACTGTCAATCTCCAATTATCCAGGTTTGGACAGGTTTCCATTCAGAAGTTATTTCCCATCTGTTAGAAAACTTCTGGAACATCTTCCTTCCTACCCTCACAACTATCCCCCAAATTAGTGTGTGTTTAGCAACTTCAAATTTCTTTTAATATTTGCATATGAAAAATATAATTAGATGGGAAATCTTCTGGGATCAAATCCAGTATGGGTTGATTACTGAGTTGTGACAGGGTTTTAACAAACATCAGGATCTGTTCATTCAGAGCGCTGTTCCCCTTTCACCTGGAAGGGGAGCTGCTCTGCTTCTACAATGCTGCTTTGGCTTAAAGGAGGTTTCAGGATTCCTCTTAAAAATTCCTTTCAGCCCGGCCAGGCGTGGCTCAGCTGTTGAGCGTCAACCTGGGATCCAGGCGATCGGGGTTCAATTCCTGGTCCGGGCACATGCCCGGGTTGCGGGCTCGATCCCCAGTTGGGGGTGTGCAGGAGGCAGCCGATCAATGACTCTCTCATCATTGATGTCTCTCTCTCTCTCCCTGTCCTTTCCTCTCTCTGAAATCAAAAAAGATATATTTTTTTAAAATAATAAAAAAAATTAAAAATAAAAAATTCCCTTCAGACTTTGATTCTTAGCTATAAACACGCACTTCAATATTTGATACCTTTTTTTAGGGGATGTAAAGTACAGCATACAGAATACAGTCAATAATATTGTAATAACTATGTACAGTATCAGATGGGCACTAGACTTATCAGGGGAATCACTTCACAAGTTATATAAATGTCTAATTGCTATGCTGTACACACGAAGCTAATATAATACAGAATGTCACTGTAATGGAAATTTTTTTAATTTTTAATATTTGAT